TAACTTATCTCTCCTAAAACTTTAGCTGTACCAACATTTATTTATTTCAATTTATAAAAGTATGCCTCGTCTTCCGAAATTGTTGCCCCACAATGAATCAAATTTTGTCGTATTTTTTTAAAATTCCCGAATATCTAGTATGAAATCATTTGTTTCCATTACTTCCCTGTGCATTTACTAGAAGTATGAATGACACCGTGTTTGTGGAGGATGGCTACACTAGTAAGCCTGGTCTATACTCAGATTACCCTAAGTGTGTAAGGACTCCCAAAACTAGCAATGCTACCTCAAACCTATAGAGGAAATAGTCGTAGCACTCGGAACACGCCAATTAGGGCTGTGTGCGTGTAGGTGAGTGTGCCCTCACAAGCATCTTAGTCATTATATTAAAATGGCAGGTTTGATAAACCAGACGAGGACTACTGATTGGCAATTGGCTGGGCAACGTATATTCATATGGCAAAAAAGGTCTATTAACCGACTATTGACTTCTCACTTCAGTCTACCATGACTCTACTGTTTATCATATTCAACCACTTCCACAGTACTCCCCTCACCTTATCTTTTTCTCTACCTTTGTGTCTGTCTCTTTTACATCTGTTCCCAACCCCCCCCCCCTCTCGACTTTTTTCCCTTTGATTTTCTTTCCCCTCTGTGAAGCCTGAACTCAACTAATGAGATAATGATAATTATCAAAACGCCTGCCATTTGATGTAAATAAATATCGCTGTGATTGAAATTACAGGAATTTAGAGTCTGAAATTTTAATTAATAATAATAATATTATTGGTTGTTAACTACTTTATTCTTTGCATGATGTTTCAAAAATGCCATAAACTCTCAAACTTATTTTAAGATGATTTTGTTTATTGTTTTGCTCAGTAATAAGAGTGAGTGTCCATTAACTATGGATTTCTTAAATCAGGTATACCATCCAATCATTTGTGTTTATTCCTCAGAAATGTTTATAAAGGGGTGAATGACGACTAGATAAACGATATCTTAAATAACATGATAAAAAACGACATGGTATATCAAATTTGAGGATATACACAGAAAGTGGAGACATTGGAAAATAAAAAAAACTAAATTCTGTGGAGTGCAAAAGGTCAACATAGGCAGAAATGAGAATTTCATTTGAATTCGAAAATGGCAAATATTCCACTGACCCTTATATTCCTGTAACCTGAGTCCAACGAAATTCAAACGCTAAGAGACGTGTTATTCCCTTGCCTATTGCACGCTAAGTTTATTGTTACAATTATTCTAGACATCATCAAGTTACTAAGTCCTGTGGAGAAACTGACGCACGTTACATGGTTCTAATTAACATTTATTTGACAACTTAACACGCAATATTTTAATTCCTATTACTTGTGTAGAAGTCACTCTCATTCCAAGCAAACTGTCAAACAACCTTCGAAACCGGCGTTTCATTTATTGACCCTGTTGGTGAAATCATCTACTCTCTCTACATTTTCCTTTTATGCATTGAGGGCTTTGGATTCCCATTGGAAGTTTTTTTCAAGTGGCCGGCGTTGTGATAATTATAATTAGCCCTTTAGCTGACTTCGGGCTTCAGAGAGAGGAGGAGAAACATCAAAGTGAACAAAGTCGAGAAGGTGGGGAAGAAGAATGATTCACAGATGTAAAATAGACAGACACAAAGGCAGAGAAAAGGTGAGGTGAGTAATGTGGAAGGAGTCGAATATGACATACAGTGGGGTGATGGTAGTTTGAAGTGAGAAGTCGACTTCCGATTGACAGACCTTTTTGCCGTATGAGTATATGTTGCCCAGGGTCCACCATGTGGTGATAAGTCTATCACACACCCCTTTCCATTGGAAGTTGTATTCTGTGGATACCACTGTTAGAAGTTAAGGGCGATTATCAATGGTGCAACACATGGGGCGGTCCCCATAACATTCAGACGTTCTACCATTTAGTCCTATCTCTCCACATTTGTTATTAGCGTCTAAAGAATTAATTCTATCTCTTTCGTAACTCGATTTATGTAAATTATTTTGTTGACACTTGCGAATTCCCACAAATTCCCTTAATTCAATAAATATGATCTTGTGTTTAACATTTTTCTTGATGAAGAGTTGAAAGTAGGGGAGATAAATATATAAATTATTTGAAAATAAAAAAAACAAAAAAGGTTTAGATTATTTCGTCTCTTTTAACTACAATATTATCCCAATATATCCAAAGCACATGAAGGTGCGTTTATCTATATGGAAAAAATTAGGTGAAATTGAGTAGAGTGTAGTACACAAATGCTAGCATAACTGAAATAAGCGTCCCATCTGCACTCCTACACCCTTGAACATGCGGCTGTGTTGAGGATCACCTTCAGGATCAACTGAGGTCACGAGGGCAGTAACCACCCAATCAATCAGCACTCAATAGTCATTGCAGTGTCAGCGTATTCAAAACCGTACATTAATGACTGAGCACTGCGCCAGTGAAATCACAACTCAAATAACTGTATTCAACTTCATGCATTCCGTTCCTTCTACACTGTTGAAGTAGGTTAGCCAATTCGAGACCAATTTCGATCAAGTGGATTTTGTCATAGAGGTTGTTGAGGTTTTATCAAGGCTTATTAGCTAGATTATTAGAAATTGTTTTGTTATTTATTAAACTTCCCATAACTTATGAAGTAAAACTGTGGGACACGTGATCGCGTTGTTCGTCATCGTATGCCTGCATGTCTGCTCACCAGGATTGGGAGGTGCGACCGTACAACTCTGTGTGCAGCGACCGTACAAACAGTGACCAATCATCAACCTCTGTTTAACCTAATTCCCCATCCTGATAATGAGTAGCTCCATGCGTGTACACTTTATTCGCAATGCCCGTACCGAATAAACGTGCTCCGTGCTACACGTCTGTTTCCCTTCTGAATAAACGTGCTCCGTGCTGCACGTCTGTTTCCTTTAGCGTGCTCCGTGCTACACGTCTGTTTCCTTTGGCTTAACTGGTTCTGGGAGTCAAGCTAGATGTAGGAGAATCTGCCGTAGAGATTTATGATTCGGTCAGGCTTTACTAGCGTAGCAATCCGCTATAAAATCATGCAACTAGGTATTATTTTATCCAAATAGGAAAACTAATTTTCACAATGATTTGTGCCCGAATTATCTTGTGACTGCTTCAATTATGCAAATGAATACTGGTGGCCATCCATGTGTAGGCTTAGAAATAAGGAACATTTTGTTCAATTTCGTTTTCAAAATTTCACAAAAATATCTTTTTAAAATTTCACATTAAAAATAAGTGCCTAAACCATCATTTTGTTGAAATACCTAATTTCAATAAAGGAGAATTGAAAATATTAAAAAGGCACAATATTAATGATTATCCTTGTATTAATTTTTAGTGCTAAGTAATTAAACTCATTGGAAGGGCATATGTCAGTGTTAAAAAGTTAAAAAAGTGAGGGCAATTAATTGCATCATCCCAAATTCTTCTTAAATGAAAACATTGAGATGGCATTATATTGGGAGAAGTTAAAATCAATTTAGTTAAGTGCGCTTATATGTTTGGGATTAAAACGAATACTATATGTAAAAAATTGAAAAGCTGAATCAAAGGATAGATTATGAGTTTGAATTTAAAATGAGTATGAAGCATGGGAAAGAGGGAGAAACATCACAACAGATTTGGGGTTTTAGTTGGGATTGCTATTAGGTACCACAGTAACAGGTACAACGCCCTGATGGATGACAAAATCACTCACGCTGCCAAGAAGAGCACGAGAAACTGCCCCAAGGCCACGAGTTCCCATGATAATCAAATTCGCGTGCATATCCTGAGCTGCGCGGATGATACCTTCGCCTATCTTTTCGGCAGGTTTACTGAGGAAAGCACAATTCAAGGCCGCTGCTTGACCTTCTGCAGTGTAGTCCTCCTCAAGTTGTCTCACTTTATCCACCTTTTCGCGAAGTTTCTTGTTCCATTCCTCTACAGGCACGGATCCGAGACTGTTTAAACTGAATGCGGTCAATGAGGGGGCTTCAAAAATGTGCAGAAATGTCACTCCATCATCTGGCATTCTGGAATGTTTAAGATACCATCGGAAAGCATATTTTGCATTAGCAGAACCATCTACAGCTATGATGATTCTGCGACCCCCTTTTTCTGGAATTCCGGAAAATCGCCTTTGCA